TTATCAAACATTAATTAAAAATCCACTGTTTCTTCAATTTAATTTCTTCTGAATATGGAAGTTCTTCAAAAGCATTACCAATTCTCCTATAGAAACTAGACTTCTGCTCTTAACTTCGCACCCATACTCCATATGTAGTTCATCTGGAGTGCAAGCTAGATATAGTAAGTAGAGTGAAGGCTGGTAATAATACATGAGATATTTAAAGAAATTCAGTCTTATTTTAAGTTGAGGTAGGTTGGTACTTTATGCAGTCATTCTAGTCTAAGCGAAGTGGAAAGAATGTAGGTGTCTATCCCTGATACGGGTGGAAAAGCAAGGCAGAATTACGAAACCCTCTGGAAGAAATGCTAATCTCTGCAAGGTTGGCCGAGTTAGAACAATGACATTTTTAATTGACTTTAAGGCTGAGAAGATGGGGTGCTCTTGGAGTGCCCTATCCCGTGCACAGGCTTGTACGGGCAGCGTGTCAGCTGGGGCTGCAGCCTTGGACCCTCACCTCCAAAATACCAGCAGCCCTGCACCTCTTGAAGCTGAAGCATGCATTGCAAATACCAGCATTATTAAATACTTGATGTTTTCAAGGCTCTCATCATGAAATGTTTGAAATGTTTTTCCATGTACATACCAGTATGAAAAATAAATATATATTAGTTCATGTTAAGTGGTAAAATGAATGTGTTTTCAGCTCCAAGGTATCATCACTACTTTAACAGACACTATCTGTGACCTCTGTTACTCTATTTCTGACCTGAAGTGCAGTAACCTTGATTTGATTTATTGTGATTCAGAGATTTATCTTCAGTATCTCCAGGCTTTCATGAATAAGCAGGTTTTGTAGCAGTACGTTTGTTTTCCTGTAAATATATATATGGGAAAACAACTTTCAAGAAATGTGGCATATTAATGGTGCTGTTACCCCCTTTTATTTGTGATGTACGTGCAACACTGAAGTGAGTTGCGCATCAGCAAACAGAATTTCAATTTGAATGTGAAGGCTTTTTTAAAGCTTTTGTTTTAATACCAAGGTTGGGAGGTACAACCAAGATGTCCTCATATAAAGTCACTTACAGTATATTAGAAGGAGCAATTTATGGGATTCGCTATGGGTGGCAGCTGCTTGTGTTATAATTTTTAGTTTTTTTCTTTTTGTTGGCCCCAATAGAAATAGTTTGTTAATAAAACATTGTCCTCTCCAGTATTGTGCTAGTAGCATCATGTATTGTCGATATGTTAAAACTGTAAATAAATTTGAGGGGCACAAATAGTCTGCCCCTGCATAACAATACTCTTGTGAGTATTTTGGAAAGATTGTGACAGGGCTCAATTTACCAGACGTTGAAGGCAGCTCCAGGCAATTGCTGGCTCTGGGAATAGGATCTGTGTGGAAGAAGCTGTTGAAGCCTACTTGAGAAAGTGCAAAATCTAATATTAAGTGATTTGGTGTGTTTTATATTTCTTACTTTGATTTCTGATTCAATCAGCTGCAGCAGGTACTCTTCTACTTTTTTGCTACCAAAAGTCCCTGGGGTTGTTGATGAAGTTTTTCAGAATGTTGCCGCTATTTTGTTGTTTTAGTCCTTGTTACCTGGACAAACGTGCTTACAAATATGTAAGCAATCCCTCACTTTATATATGTGGGGAGTTGCTTTATTTTTTAAGTTTGCTTCTTTTCACCAAGAAACTCATTTAGACTAAAGCTAGCATTTTAGCTAGCTGGAAGATACTGTTTATTAAGCTCCATCCCTGGTACTTCCTTCTGGGTTGCCGGACAATATTTAAGACCATGAAATGCCTGTTGCTGCTTTCTCCTGGAGCTGTTTATCAAACCACGGAGCAATAGAGTGTTCAACAAACACTCTCAGGAAAATAAATTTTCAAAGAATATCCTTTGCACTGATGTTTTCCCTTTTTTATAATCTGAGGATATAGTTAAAGTTGTACTTGGGATACAATGAAATATTTCAGGAAAATACTTTAAATTGTCAAGTAAATTTCGAGTCACAAAAGCCCATGATTTTCAAAAGGGAGCCATTCTTATTTTTTCTGTTGTCTAGTTCTCTAAAATTTTGCAAGCTGTTTAAATAGTGGTGATGCTCTAAAAGCATTACGAAGCAAGAAAATATTTCCTTTGTTTAGAATTTCAGGGAGATGGTAAGTAGCCAGTCTGTAAGAACAAGCAATTATTTAAAATATAGTTCCATTAAAATGAAGAGCTAGTAAAAGTGCACGCAGGTAAAATGTGCATTGCATCGAGGCTCTGCTTTGTGTGAAGAAGGCTTGTGGATTGTCTGGCTGAGTGACTCCTTTTGTGGTACTTTTTAAATAGCTGCATTAACTTTTCACTCTTTTTTTTATGTCCCATCATCTTCTGACATCTCATCCTGACCCACACAGTGTGTCATACAATAAATACACGGAATCATAACTTTTCTAAATGCTTTCTTCCCTGGGAACATGCGTAAAAAAACTTGGATTACTTTTTTTTTCCCCTTTTCATAAGAGTTTTCATTTGTTTTATAATTGCCCGCACCATTTACTGAGCCTTTGATGGAAGTATTCCCAGTGGCTAAGGGAAAGAAATCACAAGGGAAGTTTGGGGCACTGGTTTGGGACACATGAACAGGACACTAGGCCAAAGGACTTAGCCCACTAAATATTAGTACTTCTAAGTAGTGCCAGACTGTAGACTGTATATGAATACTACAGTAATGGTGTGATTCCAAGGTGTAGCCTTGTGATCTGAAGCTAAAATTCAGTGCTTAATGGTATTAGGCCAGATCTGTTGTATCTGTGCTTTGAAAGCCCTAGGAACTTTTTCAGTGGCTGCCAGGCGTTTAATTTCATCTTCAATAATGCTTGTAGTCTTCATACTTTGTAAATCCAAACTTAGAGAACATCACAGCTAATTCTATCAGTTAAGGCTTACTTTGTATATGTATGGAGAGAGAGATGACTGCCATGTGTCAGATTCTGAAGTTTATTCTTTATAGGTAATGTCTGGAACGTGACACCGCAGAAAGATAAAATCAATAACTTGTGTGCCACATTTTCTTACATAGAGAATTCAGTGTAATATATTCTCGTTTTTTCTCTAGACGCCTAGCTGTTGGGCTGAAGAGGGAGCAGAAAAGAGATCACATCAGCGTTCGGCATCGTGGGGAAGTGCCGATCAACTGAAAGAGGTGAGAAGATTAAAAGTGAAAAATTTCAAGCCTTGATATGTCTAAGGCATTTCTTATCCCTATCTGGAGTCCAGGAAGCTGCACACTGTTTCCTCTGTTGCTTTTGAAATGGATTTTACTTCCAATATAAGAGTTGTTCCATGACTGGCAATTATTTTATGCCTGTTGGATATCCTCTCTTCCTACTATGTGCTGAAGAACCAGCTTGTTCCTGCTTACTGATGTTTCTGTTCACTGTTACCATAGGTACCTTTCTCTTCTTTAGTACTGCTCTCCTGAGAGCAGCGGAGCATGTGCTGGTTTGTTAGCAAATTCTTGGGTAGAAGTTTCACTCAAGTTTAGGTCTGAAGATGGAGAACGTACCTGACGTAGGAGCATAAGTATCTTTGATACAGTAATGATATGATTACTTGAAATGAGTTTGTTAATATGTATTTTGTTACAACCACAAAACCAACTCAAAATAACTCATCAAAAGTGAAGTGGATATGAATTTTAAGAAATTAATTATGCGAAATGGTCTCCAGCTTGGATCCTTTTATATTATTTCAGTTTTAGGTCCCAGTAAAGCACCTTCTGTCCAGAGTTCATTTAACTCCTGCTCTAGACCCTGCTGAAGAATTGTCTTGCATTCAGTCTCATGTCCCTGTCAGGAAGGTGTCAGAACTACATGTTTCTCTTTAAGAAATGCTTCTTGCAGCATGTTGCCTTAAGGTAGTGCTTTTCTGCTCTAGTTTGAGCCACTTATGTTCTCTCTACTGACTTCCTGTTTAATATGGTCTGCAAGGAGGAGGGGAAATGTGTAGGTCATCTAAGGAGATATTGTTGCTGGCAATAGATAGATTGCCCTTCCTGACAGGTTTTGATAGGAAGAGGAGTTGTCAGGAGTGATTTAAGCTTAATTTTAAATTAATATAAAATTTTAAAATCTGATTCGACAAAATCTGGAGTATCTTTCATACCAGTGATGGCAATAGCTTTGTTTTAAAAGCATGGACTTAGTGTGAGAAGAGGTCAGTGTTGCAAACTCCTGTCGGTCACTGAGTGCCGCTTGTGAAACGCATCTTAACTGATTTATTGGTTTGTGGGCCTTCAGAACACCTGCCTGGCTGCATCTGCAGCTGCAAATAAAGATCACAATTACAAAGTTAAGTGCTCAGAAATTAATGCAAAAGGAGCTGTGAGCCTGAAAACTTTTAAACAGTACCTTCCAGCATAAAGGACCTCTCGCAGGGGCAGGAACAGAGTCTGTATTTCCAGGACAGCGCTGACTTGCCTTTGCTAACAGACCGCTGGTCATCAGCAGGCAGTTCCCTGTCGAGCTCTGCAGCAAACAGCTTTTCTGCAGCACCCGGGGACTGTGAGGGGTGGTGAAGCCCTGCCCGGCGGGGACTGTGAGGGGTGGTGAAGCCCTCAGCGCGTAAGCGAGGACTTCTGCCGTTTGAGTTTGCAGCAGTACCTTGGGCTGGGTCGATGTCCTTTTCGTGAACTGTGGACAAGAGAAAGATAAGAGACCTAGTGGCCAGTGGGTTTCCTGGTTCCTTTCTGATACTGGTGGTGGTAAAAATGGGGGGGCATGCAAGGGAATTGTTTGGATTCCCTTTGTTGCAGGGGTGGTTCTCTCTAAAATTTGTCCTTGTCCCTCCCCCCTCCATCTTACAGTTCTTTTCCCCTGTTTTCCATTCCCTATCTCCACCTACTCGTCCCAGTTTTCTTGCCCAACCTTAAATCTTAGTTCGGCAGCCTCATATTCCCAGTGTCATTTTGGGGGCATTATCCAGGCAATTCTTGTCTATCTTCCTCTAGCTGAGCTCTTCTCAGTTACTTTTCAGCCACTTGTCTGTTCTATCTCCCCATCGCATGGCTTCCGTTTTATCCCTTTCTGTTTCCTCTCTAATTCCTCGTTCCAGCCTCTCTATGCAGCTGTTCCCTCTCTAGGCAGATACCTGTTCTTACTCTTTTCCTACACTCATCTGTCTCTTCCTCTACCAGACTGTTCAACGCACACATGGTGGGCTTGAGAACCTGTTCAGTACCAGCGAAGCAGCAACCTGTTGCTTGCTGATGTGCACTCACTCTCTTTGTGTCCTTGTACTCCACAGTTTCTGGAAAGAGAAATTATTTGGGTCAGTTCTGTTCAAACAGCAAGTGTAGTAAAGGCAGGATTACTAGCAAATGTAGCTACCAGTCTCAAGCATCTCTGCTGAACATGTTTTTTTTTTCAAGTTTTGCAAAATGTTACGTTTTTTTCCAAAGGAATAGACATGCACATTTCCAGCCAGAAGGATCTATCCGTAAAAGTCCTTTCTCTTGGACCTTCTCAGTGAGACAGCTGTGACAGTGCTTTTTGGCACAAGTTAAAATATTTATTTCTCTCACTTGAATGCCATTTTTAAAACAACTCTAATATTTCCACCGAAATCTCTGACTGGGAGAGGATTAGGAGACCAGAATGTAGCATGGAAGTTTAGTGAAAATTTGACAGAGCTCTAGGTAACTGAAAGCAAGAGCTTAAACAATGGAAATAAAATTATCTAGGCAGCTGCATTCGTTATGAGTTACACAGGTAACAGTACTTGGAGTTATGAATCTAAGGCTTGTTCGACACTTTCGTTGGCTGGCTTAGTTGCAGATTGTTCATGAATAAGTTTAAAGGGAGACCCTTAACCCATAAAGAAGCCGTAAAGAGAGTTTATGCATTTGTGGCTTATTCATCAATAGGAAAATACTTTATGTATGCTAGATTTACTGAAATGTGGTCTGTTAGAGGGTATATATTAATTACTATTTGGTCAGGAGCAGTGACATATGAGATGCTGCTTCATACTGACAGCCCGTATCTGGATCTCCACAAATGTGGAATTAATCAGGTTACCAAGTTGGTTCCAGCGCTATCGAGAACCAACCCATTTCATGCATGTCTCAGGTGTGTGCTATTAGTTATACTAGATTACATGCATATTACAACTGGTATATATAAAAATAATATTCCAAGTGCCTTTCCAGCTGTAAAAATATTCAGCTATCAGAAAATGTAATTGTAGGTGTTTTGTTTATTTTTTTAATAAACTTTGACTTAGTGTCCAGTTAGTGTGTTCATGTGGACAGTTGTCTTTGTAATCAAACATGTAGTCAAGGTCCTGAGAAGAGCTGATGTTTATTACTGTTAGGATGCATTGCTCTTTGTGTCACGTGGAGAGGAAAGGCTGAAATTTTTCTTAATTCTTAGATTCTGCTTTCATACAGAATATGCACAAATATCTTTTTTAATTTGCCAAGATCCAATCATATGAGAGCACTTGCACATTTTGAATCAAAAAACGTAATTTGAAATTTACTAGCTTATATGTTTACAGCTCTTGAGGTGGCAAGATATTTTAAATAAATGTATCTGAATAGTGGAAGTAGATTTCAAAATGCTTTAATTTCTTTAATGGTAGGAAACTTGCATATTTAAAAATAAAAGTTCAGAAAAGGAGCTGCTCATCTATCAGTAGTTTAATGGCTCTGATGAGAAATGACTCATAAAAAGGCAGATTGGATTTTTATCTAGGAGAGAATTTATAACCACCATGTAAGTCATTTGCAGGGATTCTACATGTAGTAACATTTTGTTGGTGCTTTGTACAAATATTTTCAATTCAACATCAATAAAAGCCCCAATTTGATTTTTCTTAAAGTTTTTATTTCAGATATAGCCTTCAAATCTTGTCTTAAGACACATTATGGGAGAACCTGCATGACAGAATGAGAATTTTCTGCTCTTTCTCCAGCTGGGTAGACAGGGAGAACATTTGAATGAGTATATTAAAACCCATGTCTCATTTTATGTGTCTAAGTGCACATTTGTGCAAGGCTAAAGGTTTAATGTCTTTAGCAACTGGATTCTTTGAAGAATAAACACTAGGTCTTTCTTCAAGTGATGATTTCCATGTGTGTTTTTATTATGACTGTACATGCTTAAGTCACTTTCAGGTCATGGCCAGTGCTCGGCCATGTGAGGGAAGTGCTGCCTTGAAACCTTCCCTTTCTTCTGAGCTGCCCCGTTGAGTTGGAGTGTTTCACTGCTGCACTGTATTTATTTTTTTGTTTTAGATGCCTAACACATTTTCCTTTCTGCCTAATGTACCTCTCTCAAATCTCCGTACTGCTGTGCAGTATGAGGGCCAGATTCCATCTTCCAACCCGTACGCAGGGCACTCTTGCCATCTTGGAGAGGCTGGGTTCATTTTTAAGTGTTCAGTTAAGCCGTGGAGCAGAAGTGCCTGGTTCTTGAAGCTGCAGAGCTGTCTACTCAAGAGAATCACAAATCCGTGGCGCCACGGTATCACTGGCACATGAGGCCACCACGAATGAGCCTCATGTTGGACATTTTGTGCTCTTGTTTGGACAGGTGAAAACTTGTGGTGTGGAACTATGGAGGGGTCACTTGTATAAGAAGTGCCACAAAGAAACCCCTTGATCTACGTTCTTTCTACTTCCACTTGACATAGATAAGACTTGATCACAAATTGGTCCTGGGGAAAGTGTGTGTATTGGCAGTAGGTCACTTGACAACGCAGTGAAAACTGTAGCTCTGTTTCCTCTGCTTGGCTTCAGAACCAGCCTTGCAAATCCCCTTGGTGCTTCAAGCTAGTTCACGTCTGAGCTCTGAAGACGCCGTATTGGTCATCTCAGCTCTCAGAATGGGCAGACGTTGAGTGTTTTTCATATTTCCAGTACTCTCTGGCATTGCCTTCTGCCCTGAATGGAGTTCACTGTCAAAGTGCATCTATACCACAGTAATAATTAGATCTTCAAGTGCATGTTCTTCGTGGTACTAGCACTTGGCACTGCTTGGTTTGAACAGCCAATTCCCTAACTTGGGTTATTTATTACATGTTTCGTGAGGATCAACATACCTCCTAGGTGTGATCAGTTTATTTTGGCTCATGTTTGGCGCTCTGGTTGCATGTCTGTGCTGCTTAGGGAGAAGGTAAAGATAAACCCTGTAGGAAGCTCCCTTCTTCCTGTTGGAAACAGTCACTTTCTTGTTTGTCTAAATGTGGATGAGAATGGGCAAAAGAATTTTGTACCACTGTTTTTTCAACACCCTTTAGTGCTTTCAGGATTCGGATTTTACATTGAGAGGCTGTGTTCTTTTAAAGGTCTACAAGCTGTTTACAACAGGACTCTGAGAGCTTTGGGGTGGATGCATACAGACCTTCGCTATAGCACGCTCCTAAGAACAGATTAGAAAATGCAGCAGAAATGAAAGATTGACATAGAGCACCCTACTTGCCCAGTGTTCCTGCTTCCTAAGTAGCAGCTAAGATTCATGCAGCACCCATTTCAGTCACCAGTGTCTTCTGGTCTGGACCTTATGTTTCTCTTGCTGTTTTTAAAGGGGAAGATAAAGGTATTTTCCCTGTTCAGCATTTTATAGTTAAATCCTGGTATATTTTTACATTCTCTTTTTTAAACTAGGTTTATTTGCTTCTTCATCCTTCTATGGAGATGGGTTTCCTAATTGCCATTAGTTCTGCAATGGGAACGGGGAAGTTCCTGGACTTTTTTTCTTTTTTTTTCCCCAGGTATAAGGTATCTATTCAGATTCCTTACATTTTCTTCCATTGGGGTGTCCAGGTTGCCCCTTTGGTCAAGTGATATTCTCATAGTTCTCTAAATATGGCTCTTCTGAGCTAGGTACTTAGATACTCACAAGAGGACTCTGTCTGGATATATTGTACACTCGGGCTCTCAGGGAGATCCAAACGGTTCATCCATTGTGGATAGATCCAAAGGATTCAACCATTTCTGGGTCGCAACTGTTTGGATAGCAAGCTGTGGCAGGCTTTCATGTAGGAAGCCACTGAGGTAGATCCCCTTTCTGTGCGTAATAACAGAAACATCACACAGGAAAGTCCAGGGCCTGGAGCTGCTCTCCACCCAAACCTTTTCACCAAGCTCTGTCATCTCTGAACTGTGAAGTGTGATGTGGAGTGATTTTCTACTACTTTGCAAGGGCATTACTGATGTATTTACCTACTTGGAGCTGTGTGAGCCGCTCTGTGAACGTGTTGTTAGGCCATCACTCAGAAAGAGAGATTACTTTCCATTTGATGAAGTTCTTTGAAATATGAAATCCAAGTGATTCACTTCTCCTTGATTGACCTTCAGGGCTCTAATTGCATCTGCAGCTGAGTTATCAATGAAATGGAACCATGAATGCTCTGCCTTGCCTGCCCATGTGCTGAGTACGAAGGAGAGGGAGGCCTGAGCATAAAGAAAAATGTATACAGTCCTAGGGAGGTCTCTGCACCTGGGCTGCAAATGTGCATGCAGTCCAAACTTCACAGAAGAGGCTTAAAGAAGTACACTTGTAGGTAGAAATTTTTGAGGAGGAATAAAGAGGGGGAGGTGTCCTGAATGGAGTTCTTCGGCTTCTCTTAAGCATCAGGTAAAAATCTAATGGCTGTAGTTGTATCTGACCTTTAAAGTATGCATCTTTTGGTTAGATATCTTCTCAACAGACAGCAAAAAAGAATTTTGTCTGCCTGAATCTGTGGTAATTCACCCTGCAGTGAAGTCCTATTAAATGTATGAAGTAACTTCTCCAAGATAGAGTAATGCGTATTCATTGCCAGCTGTTTGTGAAGGCTCTTTTGCTTTTATGGTGGATTATCTCTGGACAGCACTAGTTCTGTTGAAGATCAAAGAAATTAAACTGTGGGGTTCTCAGTGCCCAGTCCCCAGGCCAAAAATTCCTACAGGCTGTCAGGAGGAATAGTTCTGCTCGCATCTGCTATTACAGTGTTTTGCGGTTTGTAAATAAGGAAGTTTTGCAGTTAAACTATGTCTGCTGTCATGTTCAGGTTGGCAAATCAGGCAGATACTTTAGAAAAAAAAAAGTCTAACAATTGGACAGAAGGTTTAATGTTCATGCTTCAAGGAGAAACAGTACTTGTACAATCCGCTAAAGAGGGCTTGGAATATTGAGATATACTTTCTAAGGACAGATAGAAGCAGTTACTAGTTTCATGACTCGTTACCCCCTTGCCTGAACTTCTCTCCAGCAGATTGCCAAACTGAGGCAGCAGCTTCAGCGCAGCAAGCAGAGCAGCCGGCACGGTAAAGAGAAGGAGCGTCAGTCCCCTCTGCATGGCAACCATATAGCAATCAGTCAGACTCAGGTAAGCAGACAGCTGTTGGTAGCAGCAGCCTCTCTTCTTATCAGTGCTAAGTGAATAACCTGCCGTTTTTTCCCGTCTTTCCTCTATTTTTTTTTCTTACGCTTTTGTGTGTTATATTGAAATGCTTAACAACCTGATACCAGTGCAGCTGCACTGAGTTTTATCTGATGGCCCATCATATAATAGAAGAAGGAAGGGTACCGGCTAAATATATTAAGATGCTGTAAAAGCTCTGAGCGTGGCCAGATAAGACTGTTTTCTGGGGTATGTACTTGTTTCAGAGATTGGTTTTTGTGGTAACACTTCCAAAAGCTTCTGCTGCTGTGGAAAGTAGTTGCTTATTTCACTACTGAATTTCACCTGAGCTGTTGCAAGAAAAAAATACTGACAGTAAGCAATCTGGATTAGCAGCCCAGCAAATGAAGAGCCTTTCCAATCTCTTTCTGATCTCTCCAGTCACTAGAATTGGAGGGCTTGTCAGCATCTGTGACACTTCACGACACGAATCCTTTTCTTCATGGTATTGACTGTTACGGTAGTCCAGAATCTTCGTTAATAAACGATCCTGTCCTGCAGGCAGGGAGCCTTCACACAGGGCTCTGAGGTAGCAGTGGCTCATGTGAGCTGAAACACTCTCGCTGTGGTACAGTACTTGTTGAGCGTTTTCATCCTGCAGCGTGGATGGAGAAATTGCCCTCATCACCAGGCTGGTTTTGTTCCAGACATCCACTTGAAAACTGATAGATAGGATGATATGAGATAGGATGAAAGAGTGAGATTTTTGAGGATACAAAATGGATGTCTGGAGTATGTTCTCGTATTCAGTGTCAATGGGCAATGTTGTTACATGACTTCTTTTTAGCAGAAGACTTCTCAAGCCTTCAGAATATCCGGGCAGACACTATCTGGAGACATCTCTTCCTTAATCAGGAATGTCTTCTCTTTTTAACACCAGCCTGGCTAAAATAATTTCTGTTTTCATGTCCTTCTCGCACATTAGTTTTGTTAGTTTGTCTGTGTTCCAACTATTGCACCTTTCCAATTGGAAGTACCTGTACCTTTTCCATTGGGAGGATGCCAACATGTATGAAGAATAGCTTTGGGTAAATTACCTGTCAGGTGAAGCAAGCAGATTTTCAGCAAGGTGTGATGGAAGATACCGCACAAGGGGTTGTCTGTTCCAACTGTTACAAATTGCCCATGGAATTGAGGCTGAATTACTAGCTCAGAAGCTCAGGCAAGGTTCAGTCAATGACTGCATGAACCTTAAGTCACTTGTGGAGAGCAGTTAATCTTTCCTTGTTTGGCAGTGCAGACATTTGAATCCTGATTCAATTTCATCTTTAACTTGCTCTCCGTGTTACTAATAGGCCACGATTTGATCTACTGATCTGTTCTATCAGAGCTCTATCACTGTATTTTCTGACAGTCTTTATAGATTGGTTATGTTTTGGAAAGGAGAGAAAAGCTCAAGCTTTTCAGATAGCAGATCTTTCATAGTTTTTCTTCTGTTTGGGTAAAACTTCACTGTGAATAAAACCTAAACTCGTGATGAAGCCATCTGGGGTGCTCTACCTGATAAGCCAGCACACGTATTTGATGTTCCTCCTGGAAATCTTACTCTTCTGTAACAAAAGACACTGAATTCTATATAGAAAAGAATTTAGCTTTCTATCGAAAAAGAAGAAAAGCTGTGGCCAGTACCTTTGCCAATGCTTATAGTAAAAATAGTCTTTGAAACAGACTGAAATCCACTCAAGCCCCTTGACATATGCTTTGAGGTAGCATTCATTAATGTCTAGGGCTCACTCTGTGAGTGGATCTTTAGAGAGGTCCATGAGTGTGTTTTTACTTTCTGTCATCTTATGCAGTCAGCGATGCTCTGAACAAAAGGAAAATATTTGGAGGAAGCGAGCACCATGGCACCAGCATTGGTGCATCTATGTTATATAAGTGCTGCCAAGATAAAACTTTGGAGATGGGAGCACAAGATGCATGTGGTTTATTGTGAATGGTTCAGAGTTCTGCTATGACTGCTTTTATCTGAAAATCTTGTGTTTATTGCATGCTTGTTTCTTAATCTCCAAGTGATTTGTTTTAGGACTTTTGACATAAAATTCTGAAATGTTACAAGCTAATGAAATGAGAATTTGAAAATGAATACTTTATTTTTCCTTTACTGAAGCCAACCAAAAGAGAATAAATGTGTCTTAAGTGAGCATTCAAATTGAGTGGTTAAGCTTTAGGAATGTTGGGCAATGCCTTTTGGATCTCAGTTAAACCATCAGAATCAGTACCCTGTATCTGCTACCCCTCCCCACCACTACATACTTCAATACATCTGGAAAGTATATACATTTTGATAATTTAGGTAGCAGAATGCCTACCTATTGATAATGAAGATAGCAGAATGCTTTTAGTATAGGACCCTTCTTCTGAGTCTGACAGGTTGAGGTTGTTTCAGTGACTTGATTTATGCAGGCATTTTTTAATTGGAACTTGCCACATTTAGATGGCAAGGCCTGGAAAAGTTAATAAAAAGTTTCTTAGTTTATCTTTTTTAGGTTCTTTAGTTCTCAGACTTTTGCCTCATTCCAATTTTTCGGCTTTAAACCACGTAACTCTTTACCTTCTAGGCTTCTATTTCCAGATCAGTCCCTATGCCACTGTCAAACATTTCAGTGCCAAAATCAACTGTATCACGTGTGCCGTGTAATGTAGAAGGAATAAGCCCTGAATTGGAAAAAGTATTCATTAAGGAGAACAGTGGAAAAGAAGAAGTGTCCAAGGTAAGTTAGTGTATTTATGGTTGATTTTTGTCTGTAGTTATATGCATGTGAAATATTTCCTAATGGCCGAAAATACAAATCTTTTTCTTTAATAGACTGTTTGAAAAAAATGTTACAAAGTTTTGATTTTCCTTCTTTAAAAAGAAAGGGCTTCTGGCCAAACACGTTTTGCTTAGAATGTCCTGTCTGTAGAAAACTTGAATGTTTTTCTTGAGAAATGCAAATGCTTCGGAATTCAGATACTTCAGGCTACTGGAGTAAGTAATCGCAGATTGGGAGATGACTCCATTTACTTCATCTTTATATCCTTTTTTAGCTAAGACTTAGTTCCCTGTGCTATACGATTCTTCACGGTTTTAATTTTTACTTCTATAAGCAGAAGACTATGATGTGCCATGGGAGATATCCGTATGGGAAACAGGGACAAATTAAGGAATATGGTTCCTATGGGAGAACTAGGGCATTTGGATCCTTGTTGAAAAATACTAAAGTGTTTAGATGATGCTGGAAATACTTGTTTTACAAGCCTTGTCTCCTGTAACCATTTTTTATTTTCTTTTCCTCTGGGAAAATCTGCTCTCTTGTTTTCTCCAATCTTCTCTAAAATATAGGTCCTGATCTTGTGAATGGTCATGTAGAAAGAAATCAGTGCACAAATCAGCATATAAGACTTGAATCAGAGGTTTAAGATTTCAGAACCCTAATTTTCAGAACCCTCTTATAGAAGTTACTTTGGTACATTCTTGCCTTCTCCAAAGACTTAATTGTGTGGACAAAGCAGTCTTAGAAACAAAGTGCTGGAATACTAAGTTTTTTATGCTAAGTATGGTTTTCTAAGGCTGTCTCATCCCTTTAGAAGGGATCTATGTTTTCGTAGAGGAATAAAAAAATAAATAAAAAGGCAAAACAAAACCAAAATGCCCATAATCAGTAAACTTCATGCCCTCTCAGAAGTCAGTTTAAACAGATACGTAATTACAGTGCCGCCGCTGCCGCTGCTCTAGCCCCGGGTTGTCATCTCCCTCGGTGAGCGGACGTTTCATTTGCCCGTCAGGCCAATCCTGTGTGTGAGCGGCGCCCTGGCTTCGGCAGCGCGTCGCTTGGGGCGCAGAACGGGCTCTCGGCGGCTGGGGGTCGCGCTGGCCCCGTCCCGCCCGGCGGAGCCTTCCTGCACGGGGCCACCGGAGCTCGGCAGTTCCTGCAGCCCAGGCAGTAGGGACCCCTTCCCACAGCATCTCCCTGGAGAGGGCCCTGAGACACAAAAGAAAGTCATAAATTTGACACTACCCTTGAAGTCGAGTCCGGCTTTGCGGGCAGGGCTTTCTTTCCCGCTATGTAACTGTCCGTTTCCTTTTTAATGCAACCTGAACTGAGACTACTATTGCTGCTGTCTCATAGCTTGCTTATTTATGGAAGATCATAATAAGAATAGCTTACTACATCTTATTGCCAGTAAACTTTTTTTTCTATTAGTTTAGCGTATTTTTAGCCTGGGGAAGCAGTTTGGGAGGGTTAAAGGTTAAGAGTCACTGGACAAAAGATAAACCATAGGAAACCAAACTTCATTAGTTTCACTGCTAGTGGAAGAATTTGTTTTTCTTTCAATTTTCTGCCATTATTCTTTCAAGTTGTAACATTCAGGATTTTTAAGGGTTTTAAAAGAGTCATCAGAAGTAATTGGTTGCTTTGGGTGATATGCAAGGATAAAATATTTTACAGGCTGCCTTACAGGACTTGTGTCTTGCTTGAAAGTTTTCAACTGGTTTCTCTTAGCCTTAGTTTTCAAGTTTGGTTCCCAGTTTAGCAGTGCATGTTTAAGCCTTAATTTTCATATCAATCCATCTATCCAGCTGTGTAAAACACTTTCTGTCCTATTGTGAATCTGTATTCATTTGTCAGCAAGCTGTAGAAATATTTGGGGAATGGTATTGTAATGATTGTTAAAAATAGAAGTAATGACCTTTCTCACTGGTTTAGGTTCAGTTCAGTCCCTAATGTTTTAATCAAATTTAGGCATGTTTTAGTACCTTTCAGACTACATTTCTTTTGTCTCAACTACATGTTGCTTCTGTCTTCCTGAGTAAAACAAAATGCGTTTTCTTTTAATTACATTTTTTAGTCTTAATTCTCTTGGATTTTTTCCATTGGTCTCACTAAGTCTTTTAAATGCAAACGTGAATATTTTAAGAGCCTTTCGTCTATTTCTTTTGTTCATTATCTTTAATTTGGACCAAGTTATGTACTGGATGAAAATAAGTGTTCGAGTTAGAATGGATTTAGTTTTGTGGGCAATACTTTAGTTATTTATTTTTAGCTGCCAGTTTCAAATGGTAACCTGTAAAGCTTTCCTCCTAGTTTTGTACTTTCTTGTTTAATTATCAGACATGCAAATCAATTTGGTTTAATTTTTAGGCTGTTGATGTTTTTCAGTGTATATTATTGCATAGTTTCTGTTTTTCTTCCCTTGAATTTTTGCAGTCCCATTTCTGAAAAGAGAAGTTGGTTGGAATATAACTTCTGACTTAGTACCATAATTCCTTGGAACCTTTCTCTCTCTTTTTTTTTTTTTTTAGACAAATAGAAATTGTGCTGACAGAAACATAGTTATATGAGTTATATATATAATAGTGAAAGGTTTTCTGCATTTTCTTTCCTGAACAGAGAGTTCAAGGTGGCATTTTTGATTCACTTTATAATAGCTTCTTCCTCTTCCAGTTTATTAATAAACTTTATTCCCATTTGTGGTGCATTTATTAAAAGGTAACGGATATATTTTTCTTCCTGCTTTATAATTTGCTGGCTAGTTTTCAAGGAAAAGTCTGTTTCAAGGATAGTCTGTTCCCCCTATAAATTATAAAAGGGAATCAGCTTCTGGTGAAGTTCTAACTTTGGCTTCTGCTCTTAGTCCCGTTAGTCACCTAAGGGGTTCCCAGTTATGGAAAATCATAGGAAACTACTGAGAAGTCTGTGGCATTGGACACATACACATTTATAGGTCTCGTATTAGAAAAAAACCTTAGCTGAATCTTCCTTCAAAGACAGAAGAACAATTAGTAATGAAGCAGTTTTTCCTGTCACACAATAAAAATGAGTAGTGTATGTGGGACGGGGTCGGGGTTTAACTTCAACACTTCTGGAAGGAGATAATGGGTTTTGTGTCCCTGTAAGCAAATTTAATCCTGTGTAAAATTACAATTTCCTCAGGTTGCATAGGTGGAGGAGGTCTCCATCTTGCATCTTTCTTTTCTTCTTCAGAAAATTCTTCTCGTCGTGTGCTCTTTCCCAGGAACCTCTTTTGTCGGGGGGCATCGTGGGGCTTTGCCCGTGCACCTTGGCTAACCTTGGATGCCTTCGCTCGTGTTAGGAGGCAGAAGCACTTTCCCATCTCTGCCTTTGTGTGCAAAGCTAGGGAATCTTTTTTTTTTTTTAAAAAAAAAAGCAAATGCTCTGTTCTCAATAAGTTGCCTATGAAAAAGATTTAAGACTTGTGAAAAATAGATCATATTTTTGAGGCTGCCATTGGTATATTATATCTTAGTAGTATTTCCAGTGATTTGTAGGGATTTCCCCCTCCCCTCGCTATTCCCCAGCAGAAAGACTGATACCAGAGAGAATTGGTGACTTTCAGCCTAGTGTTGAGAGTTGTGTGTTCTTGTCCAGTTGATCATTTCCATGGGGAAACGATGGAGGGGAGCATAGCTACATCCAAGAACATACTGTTTTATAGAGGCTGGCTGGATCGTTCTCCAAAAAAAGTATACATGATGGAGTAGTTTCCAGTCATTTTTCATGCGTTTAGTGTTACAAAAATTAATAGCAGCTGTGCTGAAGTAGTTATTCTGTTTCTTATATTTTAAGCTTGTAGGGACTTCAGTTTTTGAGTTTAGATATGGGTCATGGAAAGTAACTTCTGAAGTATTTTTTTTTTCTATTTTGTCCAGGTTTAATACCTAAATCTTTAAAAACTAAAAAGTGGAATATAATTTTACTTGATGTTGAATGAGTGGTTTTAGGTTTGTGGTCAAGACTTGTATTCAATATGAATGGAAATGTAACTACAGAAGCACAGTAATCAAATATTTGCAGTCATTTTCTACCTATCAGCTGTTTCTTGACTTGCTAAATATTTATCACTACTTCCTTTTTGTTCCAGTGTGTCTAGAGGCATGTCTGAAGGTATGGATGGTTTTCTGTACCTGAAATATTAATTCAGTGGAGGTCAAAGTATATGATTTGGGATATATTTGCTGAGAACGTAACACTGCAGTGTTTCTCCAGGTGTGGAGTTATGGGGTTGTGTACTGTCCTTTATTCCTCTCTGGAATTCTTGTTCTACCTGTTACATAGAATGTAGTGTATGCACTTAATGAGCAGCTGCTGAGTATTTTTCTTTTCTCCTTGTTAGATGTGCACCTTATTGCTCACTATTAAACTTGGCTTTGAAGTGAGAAATCAGAATTTCTTCGTGGGTTTTTGGTTCTATCCGAGTGCTTTGGAAGTGTTGTTCTCCTTTCCTCACACCTGTAGAGAAGAACAGTGATATTATCTGCACTTAGTACATAGAGAAACACGAATCCATCAGGTTTCTGTGCTGTGATTGTTCATGTAACTCAGGACACCGCGTGTCACTTGAGTTTTCAAATGTAGCTCCCATAGTCTCCTTCTGCATGTGTGTACACTGGAGGCTTTTCCAAATCAGTCCTACATGGACTGCTCATCCCGAGAAGGCACCATAGAAGGCAAAGATCGATGCTGACAGCTTCTTGGCATCTTGGAGAGCCTTTGTGGCAGAGACAGGGCTAAAATGCAGTTCTGCACGGCAGGTTTTTGGGGTTATGAGACCATCTGTTTCTTCCTGCAGCCTCAGTCTCCTTTTCCACCCCTCTTCTGTGTGTGCAATAAGTGACAAGATGCTTCAGGTGGATGTGGTGCCTGCCGGGGGTGCTGGGCACAGCAACGTGTGGTCACGTCGTAGCGCCTGTGTCATGGGAGCGGAGCTGCTGGGATGCACCACGCGGCTGGGCCCGAGCTGGTCAGCGTAGCATACAGCAACCACACTCTTCTTTTGCTTCCTTGCTTTTAATTGAAATGTGAATAGCATTAACTGGAAGGCTTATAAGGAGGAGAGGACTTTCCAGATCTACTGTGGCTGCCTCTGCATATAACATCTGCTGGATTTCTAGATGGACAACTGCTGAAAATGGGAGAATGCCACTTTTTGGGCCAATACGCTTCATGTCCTTATTGCTCATAAAACAGTATTGGTTTGAATTTAGGCTCTGGACAGGCTGTTACAATTTTGGAGCACGTGGGGAGGAGGAAAACAATGGAATGAAAGTGCCCTTGAAGCAAGAAGGAAAAAAGACATGATATTCTGTAGTGAAGTCCTGTAGCAGAACACTTGATCAGTTCTGGGGTTCTTTAATACAATCCTTACTGAAGTGAGGATAAAATTGATATTAAACCCTATAGACATTTTTACCCTTTTGTTTTTAACCGAAACTGTAATTCTCATTTGATTTTTTTAATGCTTAAAACAGCGCTGTCCTTAGAATAAAACTTTTTTTTTTCCTGGGGAAAGGACAAGTGAGTAGAACTTGCCAATCTGCTGCTGTGAACATGTCTACACTGGGAATTGCAGGAAGGGAGGATGCACGATGGCCCTGGCCACTGCCAGCGAGACTAGCCTAAAAGCAGACAGCACTAAGTGCCTTTGGTCCAAGCTCGAGCTTGTGAACCCTGTGTAAGGTTGTGCATCTCCTACATAGTTCCTTTGTTGGCTAAATTCACCTAAAGAGATGAAGGATGAGGTGCAGGGGTGCTCCAGGACATAGTAGCAAAACTTCATTCGTTATTTTAATTCAGTCTGGTTTTATGCAGTAATAGGCATTGTAGTTGACATTTCGTGCTTTTCCTTTTATCCAGATGTGATCTCTCGCAGGACTTGTTTTTCCTTTGTAATAAGTGACCTTTATTGAAAATTCTACCACTAAGTATAATTGCAGATTATCAGTATCAGAGAAATGATGTTTCAACATACTGCCAGCAAGCACGCATAAATGTTGAAGTGCGTTCTGTTACTAACTTTACATAAGATAACATCATTGTATTTACAGTTGGCTTAGACCATCTGCACATTGTCCCAAAATTCAATGGAATTAATATATGTTGTGTAAATAGTACATCATAGTATTTTTTTGTATAAAAACTCTTTTTCTGTCCGTGTTTTGCTGCTTCAGTTTAGGGTGCTACGGGTTGACACTGCTTAGAAATAAGATATTTTGTGTAATCTGACTTGCGTGTTTCCGTTGCAGCCGCTGGATATCCCCGATGGCCGAAGGGCCCCGTTACCTGCTCACTATCGTAGCAGCAGCACCCGCAGCATCGACACGCAGACCCCGTCGGTGCAGGAGCGCAGCAGCAGCTGCAGCAGCCACTCACCCTGTGTGTCTCCCTTCTGCCCTCCTGAGTCTCAGGATGGGAGTCCTTGCTCAACAGAAGATTTGCTCTATGACCGTGATAAAGGTGAGAGTAGAACGGTCCACCGTGGCCTATGGGAGGCATGTGATGTCCTGCTTATACAACTACCTTCATTTTACTCATTACATCAGTTTTTGTTTCTGTTTTGGTTCGATTGTTGTGGAGGGATTGAAGATTTATCTTAAAATTGGTTTTGTTTGTTTACATATCTTTTTCCCTCTTGTTTGTGAAACTTCACAAACATCTTCCATAAATACGTCAGAGGAGCACAGCAAAGAGTCTTAACTATCCATGAAGATTCTAATGTGAGGCATTCAGACAGGAACATGGTTGGGTTTAAAACAGGTTTCCAGAAGGTTTGTGTAGAATATCTATTACCATGAGTGAGTTACCTGCTAAACGAAATGGTGAGTTAGTAAATGATTGTTTGGGCTGTTTTGAAAGTACTCTGTTCATCAACTCTGACACTACACTTTAAGCTATTTGCTTAAATACAGATACAAGTTTGAACAATCTGATGGAGAAATGATGTTTCATAACAAACCAAATTTTTTGAATAGTTTATGTGTTTATATATCAATATCCTGCTTTTTTTTCCAAGTCCATAAAAAGTAGTTTAGTTGTGCAGAAGGTAAATTGGAGTTTCAGTAATTAGAGGAGTTAATTGGTAGGTAAGACTTACAGAACAAAAATATAAACACAATAGTAAAAAGACTGATTTGGGGGCAACTCATCTTGCTGGGTAATTGGCTCTTGGGCTTCTGCTTGGCTAGACTTAAATTTTTCTATCATCTGGAAATGAGTGTGTTTGAAAAAATGCAGAATTTGGGACAAAATTGCAAGCTCAGAATAGTGAATTTCACGGAAGAAATGAGAATTGAGGTTTTGATTTACTAATAAACACAGACTAAGCAGCTTTTTTGAGGGTATGATGAAGATATGAACTTTTTTTCTGTGAAAATTCTGTATTCGATGTATTCTTAAAGAAATTTTAATTCAATGTAATATAGGGAACAAGGAAAGGAAAAATAACGTTTCCTTGTTTTTGAAAAGATTTGCCTTCCCATTTTAGATTTGTAAGTAAATATATGGAAAAACAACAACAACAACAAAACCCAAATTCTGTGAAAATTCTGTACTCGATGTATTCTTAAAAAAATTTTAATTCAATGTAATATAAGATAGGGAACAGGAAAGGAAAAATAACGTTTCCTTGTTTTTGAAAAGATTTGCCTTCCCATTTTAGATCTGTAAGTAAATATGTGGAAAAACAACAACAACAACAACAAA